GTTATAAGCAATCTCCGTTTTAAGCTGGAGCTTCCAATGTTTCCTTAATAGTACACAAACTGTACTTTTTATTTAAAATGGTCTTCAACTTGACTTAATGACCTTGCATCAAGTATCTCACAATTATTAATATCATATTAGTACTCTTTTTAAGGAGAAAAAAATATGAGATAACAAAAAGTAATTAGTCAGTATTCAAATTAATGATACATGTTATTTGAATTTGCTGATAAGGTCATTGTATTGAACTTTGAACTTTTTGAAATATTGACTGTAAATGAGACTGTTGATAACCTTGTTTCATTAACTTGCTTGTCAAATGTCAATAGCATATTTCAACTTGGAAATTGCTGTTCCTACATATCCAAGCATTTTCCTGCACATTATTTTGTCTGCAATTATTGATGAATTTCCATGAGCAATGTTGGCAAATGGCCCTGCATGTACAAATACACTACGTATCTAGATAAAATATATTAGCACAAATGATACATTTGCTTTCGATATTATGATATTAAACTACTATAAATTAGTATTTTATTTCATTTTTTTGTCTTGACATTAAATCAACATAATAAATTATAAAGCTACTCAAAAGAATTAGTATCTTATTTCATTTTTTTGTCTCAAGTGACATTAAATCAACAAATTATTCTATATCAAATCATGTGTGCTTTGAAATTAATACTTGAAGTTCTTCAATTTCATTGATTAAAACTTTATAAAAACAATAATGCATGTACATATTATTGTTACCAAATTTCTATAAACAAGTTGTTTACAAACAGTTGAGTTGTTCCTTCAATCAAACACTGACTATAATTTCCTATAAAAAAAACAGCATATTTAATTTTAATCAATTCCTGTGAAAGTCTGTAGCGTATAGTTAAGATTACAAAAATTCAGTTGTTTATCAGGACTAACAATTAGTAATATCAAATGACTGGAAATGATGCTTTCTGTGTAAAGCACGCATTACATACTGAACAAATTTTTTGTGTCCAATCTTAAGGCTTTAAAAGGGAAAACATTTTACCCCTAATCAACAACTTATTAGTTCTACATTATGTTTTCAATATCATCATCGTCTCTTCCTTCGTTCAAGCAAATTTTCCAAGGACAAGTATTTTCATTTTCAATTTTTGGATAGGTCGTTAAATTTTTCGTACCGACATTTGAATGCTACATCGTAAACCGTATCTGCTAGAGGAAAATATTGATATGTATTGGTGTATCATTTGCCCCACCTCTCTCACATCAACTATCTCTTCATTAAAAAGTTATGAATTGAATATGATTTCATTTTTCTGTCAGTGACCTTTGACTGGCCTTTATGTTCTGTGGAAAAAAATCTCAATTAAAAGCACTACATTTATACAATCTTTGTATCACATTTAGTAACAAATATTAAATTTCCCCTTTAAATTTCAAAATTATGGCAATTGCAAATACTGGTATGTAGCAAAGACAGAGAGACAACGAGCATTCCAGGATAATTTTTTCACTATGGAAAAATGTATAAAAAATACTGTCAATATTACCTGGATAGTCAGGTGCCTTTATTAAAATTGTCTCATTATCATTTCTTTTCTGTCCGATGACTTGACATTTGCCAGAGTCTTTTTGTCAAAAAACCAGTTTTCTGGTTCTATTTGTCATTTCCAAAATTTGTAAAGTTCCAACCAAATGCTGAAGAAAAGTTCCACTCTTCAGTCTCTAACAGTGTCTTTTTCCTCACCTTTGTAGTGGTTCCTCAGTGGTCCTTGACATACTGTTATTTTTCTCAAACTTTATCATCAGTTAAATTGATAGAACATAATATTAAAGTTTAATACTTTTTGCTAGATTTGAAAAGTTAGCCTTTCATTCTGACATTTCTATAAAATAGAAGGGCCTTGAATGATTAGAAAGATCAATTATGAAACCTGTAAAGAGATTTAAGTCTGTATGTTTCATATGACTGTTACCTGATGTTCTGATACAAAGAATATTTATGCTGTATCTGAAACAAATGATTAATAAATACTAAAAACAAGGTAAAAAGAACTCTTTCAAGTAAATTTTCAAGAGGCCCAAGGGCCTTGAATCGCAAAGACTGATAAATTGTACTAATCTATCACTTCTGTTAGAAGCCTCCAACTTTATTTATCATAAAACCCAAAATGCATCAACTTACAAAGTTTGATAATATTTAGCCAGTTAAAACTGAAGCTATTATAATATAATTATAAAATACCATCAAATGTAAGTAGGTCACAGTGACCTACCTTTTGATTGAAATTTTCTCCGAAAAACCCAAGGTGCATTAATTGACAAAGACTGATGATTCTAATTAAATAAGTACATGAAATATTCAAAAGTAGATCACCATGACCTACTTTTGGTCAACATTCTCTGAAAACCCAAGATGCATCATCTGACAAAGTTTGACGATTCTAAGCCAATAAGTACCAGAGATACTTAAATATAGCCATAAAATGTCAAAAGTAGGTCACTGTGACCTACTTTTTGGTCGACGTTATCCAAAAACCCAAGATGCCTAAACTGACAAAATTTGATGATTTTAAGCCAATAAGTACCTATAGATATTCAAAAGTAGGTCACCGTGACCTACATTTTGTTGGACATTCAATGAAACCGTAAGATGCCTCAACTGACAAAATTTGATGATTCCGAGCTAATAAGTACCAAATATAATTAAATATAACCATAAAATGTCAAAAGTAGGTCACAATGACCTACTTTTTGGTCGTCACTCTCCGAAAACCCAAGATGCATCAACTCACAAAGTTTGATGATTCTAAGCCAATAATACGTACTTAAATAAAGCCATATTCAAAAGTAGGTCACCATGACCTATTTTTTGGTCGTCATTCTCCGAAAACCCAAGATGCATCAACTCACAAAGTTTGATGATTTTAAGCCAATAAGTACCGGAGATACTAAAATAAAGCAATAAAATGTCAAAAGTAGGTCACCATGACCTACTTTTTGGTTGTCACTATCCGAAAACCCAAAATGCATGAACTCACAAAGTTTGATGATTCTAAGCCAATAAATACCTAAGATACTTAAATATAGCCATAAAATGTCGAAAGTAGGTCATCGTGACCTACATTTTGGTTGACATTTTTCAAAGACCCAAGATGCATCTACTGACCAAGTTTGATGATCGTAGGTCTGAAGGTAATCAAAATATGCATTTTAAACAATTTGAAAACAAATGTCGGCAAAATTCAAAAAGCAGGTCACAGTGACTTACTTTTTCATAAATACGTTTTAAGGTCCCAAGATGCATCAAAGTACAAGATTTGATGATTCTAAACCTCCCAGTGTCTGAAATAATGGGATTTGATGTTTTTAAAAGGATAAGTCATAAAATTCAAAAAGTAGGTCAAGGTGACCTACTTTTAAGTTGAAATTGTTCAAGGACCCAAGATGCATCAACTGACAAAGTTTGATGATCATAGGCCTTAAAGTGTCCAAAATATGCCTTCAAATCAATTTGAAAACAAATCCCCTCAAAATTTAAAAAGTAGGTCACCGTGACCTACTTTTGAGTTAACATGATGTGAAATCGTAAGATGCATCAACTTACAAGATTTGATGATCCTAGTCCCTATAGTAAGCAAAATATACACATTTTTATTAATTGTAAATTTAGGTCAACTTTTAAGTGACCTTGAGACCACGCCCTTTGCCCCAGGGTAATTCCCCATGCAAATTTTAATCTTCAACATATCCTGATCCTTGTATGTAAGTTTGGTGAAAATCTGCCTGGTGGTTATGGAGAAGAAGATTTTTTAGCAACCAGTACTTTTGGTTTTGTTTTCCGGATTATCTCCCCTTGTTTAAGGATCCCAACCCTTATTTTAGTATAAATGGTAGCCCTTGGGCCAAGGATACCTGTGACAAATTTGGTACTGATTGGCCAAGGGGTTCTTGAGTTATGGCCCATATTCTAAAAAGTTTATGCACACCGCACACCGGACAAATGGCCATAGCATTAGCTTTTTGAGCCTTTGGCTGGAAAGCTAAAAATCAGATCCAAAACTGCTCCTTTATTTTTTTATTGTCACTAACTCATGTAGTGACAATGAAACAATAAAGGAGCAGATCAGGGTTCTGATTTTAATCAGATTACTGTAAACGTATTATATTTGTCTGTGTTTTCTTTTTAGCGCCTTTGGTGGAAAGAAATGTCAAAGCATGACTGTAAACACTGGAGAGCAAAGATTACTGTAAAATTACTTATTTAATATATCACTGGGGTTTACTTTTCGTTATTTTCAAGGTATGAAGAGACCCACAGAATTTATGTCCACCACAAAATGTAATTTTTCATATGTGAATGTACAGAATTACTACTAAGTTTTCATCCTTGAAATCAAATCCCCATGAACCCATATTTTCTCCCAATACCTTGAAAATTTGACCTGACAAAAGTATGTGATTTTACAGCAGAATATGTAAATGAAGATCAGATCCAGTTTCTTAAGATGCTGATAGTGTGCACTCCTACAAATATAGTCTATGCAACCACATTGATTGAATGCTTGAATTTTTATTAAATTGAATTATACAGTACATATTACTAGGGCTGGGTATTGGCCTGAGAATTAGCATTGCGATATATTGCGATATTTTTAAATGTATTGCGATATGTATTGCAATATTTTCAATGTAATAAAAATGGCATTTTCTTACTATATTTACTTTAATTTACATGCAGAATGTACACAACTATGATAAGTAACCAACACAGAAAAAAATCTTGTTGATATCATTTAAGTTATGCTCTGAAATTTTACCACAAAACAACTTCTGACTTACTGTTTGGCTTAATAACAAACTTTTATAAGTCCATTTTTATATTTAATGACAAAATTCCTTAATCTATGTATATTGCCAATATATCGATATTACAAAATCGTATTGCGATACGATATTTTTTGTCATTGTATTGCAATATATTGAAATATCGATATTATTGCCCAGCCCTACATATTACGATGTTTTGTGTTATAAAATACCATATAAATTGAATTTTTATGGTAAACTAAAGGATTGATTTTAAAATGTTTATGAAGTTTCAAGCAAAAGTTTGTATAATTACCTTTGGTTTCATCTCCAAAAACTTCATCTGAAAGTTCTAGGTATCCCAGGTCCACTAGCTTTAAAACAGCCATAGCAGTAATGACTTTAGAAATGTCACCAATCCTGAACTTTGATGAAGACGTAGCATAAACTCCAGGTGCTGCCTCACCATAACCTGGAATAAAGAAGACTAACATGGGAATTTTTTTTTCATTTAATGTTTGAGCTGTTGTTATAAAAACCATTATCAAGCAGTGCTCTCTAACATCATATCAAAAAGTCTGTTGACATTGTTTCTGTTTCATTATAAGAATTCATTTTTCTGGCCAAACTTCTCAGAAATCTTAACCCTATGGCAATTATCAAATCAACATAAATTTGATTTTTTGTAAAATCATGATAAATGAATGTCATGTTCTTCTACATGTAGGAATCACATATTTTTTCTTTTTTGATATATTATTCCGCACATAAGATTTCAGATAACAGAATAACAGCATGGGCTACAATGCTCACCTGAGTCCCCTTCCCAAAGAGGGAAAAAAAAAAAAAAAAATCCCAATTCGTTCAATGACAAAATTTTTCCGTTACCATATTGTGACCCCATCCTAGTCCCAATGGGCCATAACCTAGCCTCATAGCTTAAATCCACTCTTTTAATATCAAAATGAAGCATATCATGCTCCAAGCATGCAATGTCTTTCTGACACGAATTCTAAACCAACTAGAGGTACTGTGAGCAATGGGCTCACTAAATGATACCCCCGCCTCCCATATGTGTATAAATGGCAGTGTCCATATTTTGCTATGGGAAACCCAAAATATGTTTCGGATCAAAAAGTAAAATAGGAGGTGCACAATGGCAATATGTAATAAAGATTCTGTGAAAGTTTCATCAAATTTCATTCAGTAGTATAAGAGGAGTTGCGGATAAGAGATGGGTACCCCAAAGCGTAACAGACGGACGGACGGAATTAACGATTACTATATACACCGTACCCTCCCGCTTTTCAAGCGGGGGTATAATAACATTTTCAATACAGTACAAACAATTCCTCTTTGATGATACATGGTATTACCTTGCCTGTACAGAATTCTACCATGCTGACCAATGATCACAGATCCCCCCTTGATCTTGTGTTCTCTCATGGTGTTGATGATGACTTGATCGAATGAGGACATATTTTCATCTGTAGTTTCATTAGCTTGAACACATTCTGTAAGCCATTAGGAAGCAAAAATGTCATTATAACTCTAGAAAGAGCAGCTTGTAAGTTCTCAACTGGAATTTATTAAAAGGCAAGTAATTTTATTTCGTGTGTGGTGCTTCTCACGAAATTATGCAATAATTAATTCCATGCATATATTTAGGAACTTAACAGTATATTAATTGGTATACAGTATAACACTTGATTGTATTACCTTGTGATAAGCAGTAGTCTGATTTTTCACAATAATCTTCAAGGCAATTCTCAGGTAGTGGTTTGACTTCTTGAAATATGAAAGAACATGGTGGAACAGTAATTATAGTATACATATAGAACATGTTAACCAATATATTACAACATAGTAAGTGATGTTTACATTTCCAATGTCTTTGTCCGATATGAAATTACGAATAGTAAAAATACTTTATTTCTACATAAATCTACTGGTTCATTGATAGGTTTAGTTAAAACAATCACATGCTAGGCGGGCTTGTAACAAGTGAATATGCGGAATCAAGAGCATGTAAATATAAGGAATAACTGTCACATTTCTGAGAAAAATTAGGGTAGGTAAGTAGGGAAAACATTTTATTTTAACATGTTATTGTTTAAAATTTAACAGGGAAACCCAGGTCAAAGCATTTCAGATCAATATATAGAGGATGACCATTTTCTTAAACACATCTGAAGAGATCTAGATTAGTGAAACCAGATTTGTTTACTTTCAGAGAAATATTAGCAGATAATTTTTAAAGGTCGACTTATATATTTTAGCATCGGTTGAGGAACCTGAAACACACAATTTATTAATCTCAGCCTTATGGATTTTAAAAAAAAATTCTTAGTGAGAAGTGGAACATCAATAAAACCAAGAACTGTAACAGTTTCAGAATTTTGAGGCAGCAATGTCTAAAACACAAACATTTTTCATAAGAAGGTGATGTGATACTGGCAGTTTAGTCTCTATAATACAAAGATTATATAAAAGCTACCCACCAGTAATAGAAACTGTATTGTCCTGTTCCACTTTTCTAACTGTGCTTTTTCTGATCTTTATAGGCTGGTAATGGCTACGGCTCTCTGTCAACACCCCTGTCAGTGTGAATAGTGAATACAAGCTTTTATTTTATGCAGCTTGGCGGAGATAGTGGTCATACTTTTAGGTTTAAGGGTCACTGGTTCTTAGCTGCAGAACAGTAGATGTCAACTATGAGAGTATACTTGATAGAGAGATGTAAGGTATATAACAATTGTTTTAAAGTAATCTTTTTTGCAATTGAAATAAGAATTTGGAGAAATTAATCCAGAGCCAAGCGCAACTTTTTGTGTGCAATATAGTTTTTCGTTATTGGTGACACTGTAGCTCTCTGATTGTCCATCCCTTTTTTCTGACCAGCAATTGCTACAGATCTAGATCTGTATTTTGTACTGAGAAGTTGATGGCTTGTTTTTATACTCCCCCTCAACGTGAAATCGCAAGTAAGTGTAATACCATGATAAATACCCCGATATGTTTTAGGACAGCAGAATGGATATTTTTAATTGCAAAACAATATCTGTGAATCCAAAATACATAATTGATTATGCATCAGGCCTAAAACATCGATTAGAGTGGGACCTGGTTTGCTTCTCTATTTAGTCGAACTGCCTTTTTAATTAGTCCTTTCGTAGAAAAGTTGAGGGGGGGGGGGATGAAAAATCAACTTCTCCATAGACAATAGAGAATACTGGATCTGCAGAAAAATTAATACATGATAATTTCATTACAACTAAAATAGCAATGTTTCTTCGTAACTAAAATAACTTCTTAAAGTTATTTATGGTACATTTCCTATTTTACCTGAGGGTTTCCCCACATTGTTACTGTAAGACGGGCAGTATATTGTGAATTGTTGATGCTGCTCTTTGACATGGGAAGTCGGGTTCAATTCTGCATTGCTTGATTCCATGACTTTGATCAATCTTGTTCACAATCTTCTACGGAAAAAAATACCTTCAGCATTTCTTTGCACATGCATAAAAACTTAGATACGCTTTGGAAATTTGTTTTAAACATGATAGTTCAGTTTGTCATTCTCTTCTTTGCATTGTGAGGAAATCGTGGAATGATTGCAAAGGTAAAAGTTTTACGCGAGGAAAATTTTTTCCCGAAGGAATAAAATAGCTTCATTTCCATGAACTTATATACGCCCCAAGAAATATGAATTCCTAAATATCATTTACTTATTCAGAAGATTTTCAAAAAAGAAAGATATGAATAAACAATAATAAATCTCCAACTAGATATAAATTCCGGAAATTTCTAGTCCTTTGCATTTTAAATTTATGTTCCATGAATGATATCCTGCTGTAGAATCCTTGTTTGTTTCAGAAATGAATTATTTAGAGCATTATTTTCTTCCATTTGGTAAAATATACTTTATAGAAATTTAACTTAGATGATACAGATTTAATAACTTATGAAAACACGTAAAACATGTCACTGTTAAGTCCTTTATCATCTTATCAGGTCCAGCACAATGCTTAATTAAAATTTGCTCTTAATGACAGACTTATAATAATCATGTTAAAGTGTTTGCCTGTGCACGTGTGCAAATAAACTGAATTTAATTCTAAATATGTTTTATATTGTTACTGTAGATTTGTGCAAAGCTAATGAAATTGCAGATGAGTCTCTGTGGAATTTTGACTCTTTGATAACAGAGTTTATGAAAGAACAAAGAATTCCAGGAGGAGCCATAGCATTATCCTATAATGGCAGACTTATTCACAAACAAGGTGAAATATATATTTGAACAAGTTTACCTGTACAATGTAATAGAGTGTACATTTTACCAGCATTACAGTTTTCTGGCATATTAAATAGACTGTCTTAATACATGTATGAAGATTTTGCTTATGCAACACAATGAGCTGTAAATTAAGGTATTTGTACCTTATAACAGCATACTACATGGATTCAATCATGGCTAATATGTTCTACGGTGCGACCGTTTGGGGCGAGCGCAGTTATTTACCATTAAAGACATTTACACAGCTTTTACTTGCACTGCCTATCCTCAGTTCACTAAAAAAGAAGCCATGCAGGCATCGGGATCGAGATTCCGAACTTTTCGGAAGTTTCCGAAAAATTGGAAATACCTGAGCCGTTAGTGACAAAACTTTGATGTCAAATAAAAAAAGTCTTGTTGACTTAGAACGCAAATGATAGTTTCATAGCATGGAGATAGCATAAAATCGTTGTTTGTATTTTTTTTCAAGTAAGTTGTTGCTATGTTTTAGCCACCATGTTGCTATGCACCGCAAAGGATTATTGGGAGTTTGGAATTTTTTCACGTGGTACGATAAAAGTTTCTTGGAACATTGTGCAGATTTCAACATGAATTTCCTCCGTTCGTACACGTTAGTGTATTGAGCTCACTACTTGAGTGGCGCTTTGCGCCGCCTCACTGCGCTCGCTATTATAAATCAATGATTTGAATCACTAAGAATCGTACTTACTTGCAAAATCATGATTACATCTCTGAATGCAATTTCTAAAACTACATGCTTTCTGATATAATTTTTTTGTAAACTTCTAGGTTATGGCAGTACGGGGAATGGTTCAAGATGTCTTTCAACATCCTACTTCCGGATGGCCAGCATTTCTAAGACTATCACAGCCATGGCTATAATGCAGTTAGTGGAACAAAATAAATTGCAGCTGAAAGATAAAGTATTTAGCAGAAAAGGAAAAGGTGAAAAAATTAAACCATACCCAGTTTGAACTTTCTTAAGGGAGGGAAAATTACAATGTGTTTCACCATGACTATCATTGTATCCTGGATAATTAAGTAAATTAACAAAAGTTGATAAAGCATCATGTTTACACATGTATGGTTAATTCTTTAGCAGATTTAATCTGAGGAATGTTCAGCCTTGCTTTCTTTATGTGTCAAAAACTCTTTCAATTTTACAAACTTTAAGGAATACTTCCAAATTTTGTCCCGGATGGACCCAGTGTCAAAAGCCTGGAGAGGATTTCAGTGCGGCATCTCTTAGAACACTCTGGGGGCTGGGATCGTGAGACAGGGGTGGATCCAGTGTATCTGCCCCCTCAGACTGTCTGCCCCAAGGAATATAAAGAATCAACCACACCTGAGGCTCTCTACACCAACTACCATACAAATCTCATCCAGTACATGATTAAACAAGCTCTGGATTTTAAGCCTGGTTAGTCTTGACTTTCTTGTTTTGTCTTTGAGAAGAAAGCAGCATTTAAGGAATTATCAATTATACTAATAGATGCAAATTTTTGTAGGGACTCGGCATGGCTACTCTAATTTTGGTTACTTGGTGCTTGGGCAAGTTCTAGAGAAACTCACAGGGATCCCCTTTCCTGTTTATATACATGATGTCATCAACCAGGCAGATGACTTCTGGGTCTATGAGGGAGATGAGCTGCAAAGACTAGATCCAAATGAAGTAATTTTTACTTATCTTCTCTGATATCTTTTTTAGCATACAATCTTCTTGCAGTTTTCCTAGTTACTATTTGTATATCTGCATATCATAGGCATTTGTACTAACTTTTAAAAATTCATAGTAGTCACCTGGTTATAAAAGATTTGATCTTAGCAGTAAAGTTACCCCCTCCGTCTAAACACATTAACACCATAATAAAACACTGAATCTTTTTAGTGGTATTCCAAGAGGATAGCAAGGACAAAGGATATGATATTTTAATAAGCTGAATAGAAGAGAACAGAATGAGAAATGATCCAGCTTACACCCATCTCTGTTAAAGATTTTTAATGCTTCTTTTTCAAAACTTTATAAAATATTGAGGAGATCACTGCATTGAACATTTTTATTCAGGTCACATATTTTGAAAACAGTGATAGGTTACATCCTAGTATTATGCCACATCACGGTGAGATATGGAGCATGCAGTACGGGGGGTACCACATGAAGGGGACTGGTTCGTATGGAGGGCTGGTGGCGTCTCCCTTACAACTTTTCTCTCTCCTCTCAACTCTAGACTTTGAGCACTGGTAAATATTACATGTAAAATTAATGTATATGTGAGAATCCAGATTGATTTATGATTTAAATAAGCTTCATAATGAACAAAACAGATGATAAGATATACTGTTTGAAGTTCATGCATTAATTTGCTATATATGAAATTCATAATTTTTTTGAATTTCATAATCTGATAATAGATTAGAAATACATCATAAAATAGGAAGATGGGAAATTTTAAAGGAAATAATCATGAATTTCAGAAAGGTAAATTTATTCTATTCTGGCAATTCTGTGGGTGGAATAAAAATATTAAAATGAATGTTTTTTTTAAAAGGGGGATTGAAAAAAAATTTCCCAA